TCCGGACTTTCATCGTCGTCGTCATCGTCCTCATCGTCCAGAGTGAAGGAATGGGGGCCGGAGGACAGCGTACGCTTCGACGACGATCGGATAGGAGACCCCGAGCCGTCGGACCAGTCCGTTCCCTCATCCTCGTCATCCTCCGCGCTGCCAAGTCCACAACCAGTGGGAATGACACGTTTGGCTTTCCCTTTTCCGGATCCAGTGCTGGCCGGCGGAGGGCCGGTGGAAGCTGGCTGGGGAACGGCAGGCGTCGTCACCGAAGGGCCAGCGGTGGGATCCCGACTGTGACGAGCCGGATTGGGCCGTGGACACGACTAACCCCGTCGTAGAAGGGGCAATCGCCGCAGATCCGGCCGAAACCACGGCCTGGGACGACGGCGCGGTGGTGGATCCAGTCTTGGACGTAGATCCCGTCTTAGGCGTAACGGCGGATCCGGTTTTAGACGTCTTGGATCCAATCTTGGGCGTTGATCCCGATTTTGAAACCGCGACGGATCCAGTTTTGGACGCCTTAGATCCGGCCTTGGATGCTGATCCCGACTTGGATGCCGCGGATCCAGCCTTGGCAGACGATCCGGACTTGGATGATGTGGATCCCGGTTGAGGTGCAACAGCGGATCCAGTCTTGGGCCCAGACCCAGATGTTGACGTGACAGCAGTGGATCCAGCCTTGGATCCCGTACCCGTCTTGGACGTAGCTACGGAGCCGGCTTTAGATGTGGCAACGGACCCAGACTTGGATCCGGCACCAGACTTCGAGGGGGAGGCGGAACGTTTGGACGTGGATGTGGATCCAGGCTTGGACGTGGATGTGGATCCCGCCTTGAACGAGAATGTGGATCCCGCCTGAGAGGCTGCCTTGGAGGTCGAACTGGTTTTGAGCTTGGCCTTTGGGGAAGCTCGGGCATGCTTGTGAGGACGGGGGGATCCTGTGCTAGGAGCGCGAGATGCACTACGCGGTCGTTTCGCAGCCGACGGATCCGCTCCACTTACAGACGGTAGAGAAGCCGAGACAGCAGCTGTCACCAGCGCCAGTCGTCGGCGTGCCAAATCCCGCTCCGATAAGCCACGATCACGCTCCTGAACTAGCTGCTGGTGCTGAACATAAGCAGCAGCGAGTTGATCCCAGAGTTTTGCTGCGGTTGCCTCGGCATCCTTCAATTTGTCACCTGGATCGACATAACAAGTGAATATGGGGTTACTAGCGGGGGACAAAAGAAGATCCACGTACTCGTGCGGCGGAGCTTGGATTCTAGCTCCGTTTGCGTTCGCTTGGCATCCGCCCACTCGGTAGCCGCCTGGTCACGCTGAAGTTCGGTGTCCGCCAGCTTTGCTTGGATCTCGTCGCGTAATTGAGTCACGCGTACGAATTCTTCGAGCGCGTAATCTCGCCCAGCAGACGCTTTCTCGAGTGACGCCTTGGTATCTTTCAGTTCATCAGCGAGATGAGCCAGAGCCACATCCGGCGACGAGGGAGGTGGATTTGGCGCGGGGGATCCTCCACGCGCCGACCCTAATGCGGATCCGCCATGGGTGGATCCCACATAGTCGTTAGTCACCACCTCTTCTTGGGTCAGGCGCAACTCGTCACGGAGTCGATCCAAGCTCTCGTCCGCGGCTGCACTAGCAGTCTGGGAATCCTCCAGATCCCGCTCGAGGTCATGGATCCGGGATTGGAGCTGGTGGATCTCAGATCCGGCGAGTGCCATCTCCCCACGGCGGTGGTCGTTGTCGTCCCGCAAGCCATCTCGTTGACGGGAGGCGCGATCCAGCCGTCCGGTCAAGTCGCAGATCTCGACCGCTTGATCAGCCAACAAGAGTCGCAGGTCCTGCGAGCGAGAGGCCGCACGTTGCTCCCACCCCTGGATCTCCATAGCCTGGTCATGGACCTGGGCTCGCAAGGTTTGGAGTTGGGTGGCGTGCAAAGACGCAGCTTGGTCTCGGGCATCTTGAGCCGTCTGGAGCTCCGCCGTCAAGGTTTGCACCCGATCGGAAAGAGCCTGGGCTAGCGTACGCAGATCGGTGGGTGACATTGAAGAAGGGCTGACCGATGGAGTGGTGGATGGGGCCTTGCCCGGTGATTTGCTGGTACGCTTGGTGGGAGACATGAGTCACGAAGAAGAGGAAGCGGCTGTGGATGCTGGTAGTGCACGCGGTGAAACGCTGGTTGTGCAGCGCCGACAGCGTACAGGAGGGCGATGGTGGGTGAAGTGCTTTTTCAGAAATAAGAGAATGGACCTAACGCGGGGTCACTATTCCGAATCAGTGACAATTTCAAGTGATTAGAGAGGATTCGGGTCGACCGGCGCGGATGCAAGTTGCTTGAGGTGGATTGGCCATGACGAGCAGCACCCCGTATGAAACGACGATGGATCTGGTATGAGTGATGTACGGGAAGGCAAGATCCACCAAGGAATATCTCGGATCCACCCTTACCTGGGTTCACTTAGGTGGATATGGATATACTATGTACCAGTGGATTGAGAGTGGATCCTACGAAGGAATGGTGGTAGGTGCCATCTGAAAGTGGATCTAGTAGCCACAGCTAATGAGGAGTCAAGATCCACCGCGAGGTGTCCCGGATCCCATACTTAAGGAGGGAGGATCCCGCATAGAGTGATCTGGATCCAGGATACAGGAATGATGGATACAGTGAATCTCGAACTTTCGTGGGACAATGAAGATCACAGACGGTTGCAAGATGATGTTGGATGATTGGAGAGCTCAGATCCATGGCGAGTGTACACTTACAGTGAAGTGGATCCAAGCAACCTGGATTCGGATGAGTGTACCCATAATAGGGTGACCATATTAATTACGTAATGGATCCGGTGGATCTGAGGATAATACAGCTGGGATGGCAAAGGAAAGAAAGGACATGCAGCCGAGCTTGGTAAGGGATTTAACAAGTAAAAGACATAGAAGGTAGAAATCCAGGCAGGTATAGGCTTAAGTATCAATACAGTCTTCAATTTGCACAGTAACACGCAAGTGCCTTCCTCCCCTCAAGAATCGGAGCTCCATTGGCCGTACGAGCTAGAAGAAGGTTGGGAATTGCGAATCTAGTGTTGGTAGTGATAGCTGGATAATACATTGACCAGATCCTACAACCTAGTAAGCTTTCCTATGCAGTGCAGATCCGACAGGTTAACCGAATTTACTACTTGGTCGGTTACATCCTAGAGGCTCTCAACTCTCAAGATCCCGTCACAGGAGGCGGCAAGTACGACTTAAGGAAACGCAAAGGCAAGGGACACACCCGCAAGGCAACCCTACGGCCAGATCCACGATCCAGGCCCTGGATCCACAAGCTCGAATATTCGCTTAGGATTCGGAACCATCCACGGACGCAGAGTGAAGATTTTCCACTGCTGCTCCACCCCATCCCCACGTCTCGCCAAGACACTCAAGCTTCACCACTTGAGCTCTTCGGAAGTTACCGAGAGAGCAAGATTCCGCCCTACCGACGGGTACACAAGGTGAGGGAAGTTCAGCAGAACACGGATCATCGGGGGACCCCCTCCGTTAGTCGGTGTCTGGGCGCAGTTGGTAAGTTGGATCCAGCAATCTCGCAGATTTTGCTGATCTCGCTACACCACATTGAGGTGGCTGAAGCCTTGAGGTACAAGATCCTAAGCGAAGTCACGCTGCACCATCAATTATTTAAAATCCCGGACACTTCACATCCAACAATTCATGCAACCTCCGCCGCAAAGCGGCGGCGAACGGATTTAAGGTGCTGAGTCCCTGAAGTTGAGGAGAAGGACGGGATTTACACTAAAACCTTAGTGTAGAGACAGATTCTTGAGCGTAGTAGGAATACTTGCTTCACCGTTTTTCACGTTGTTTCGCTATCGACTTGCCGGACCGAAGCGGAGGCCAGCGGCCTTCTTGTATGAGAATGTGGCCTCACTCTAAATATAACACGGTTTTACAGTGACCTCTCTTCTTTTAATATTTTCGTGATGAATAAACACACAAACATCAGCCCGCCGGAACGAAGCGGAGGCGGGCGGCCTTCACACCTGGGACTTACCACTGACCCACCGCCGCGACCTCGTCTAGCTCGTTATGCCAAAACGGCGCGCAGTGTAATGTGGGCCACTTTTTTATCTTTTCGCGTAAAGATCATGACTTGGCAAGCTCATGCACGTTTTAATTGTGGTGATGCCAGTGGCCCATTGCTGCAGCCACACCAGGTGATGATCTCGCACGAAGACGCAGCGCTCCACTCAATCAAGCAGCTGGACCTGGTCCGCGTCCACTTTGCGTCACATCTGTCGGCTCTTCTCGTGCTGGAGTGTGTGATCGACCGTCGCCAGTCGTCCAAGACTCCTAGTGCTATTAGTAGTGCTGTGCTCAGTGGTGGACGCATCCAGCTACATCCTTGGGTGTTTGACGTATATAGGCAATTAGACGACGCTTTTGCAACATTGGAGAAGGCCCAACTGGCTCCGTTCGCGACCATTTGGCTGAGTTTGCTGACCAAATTCCCATCTGCTGCAACCCCCAGCAGCGACAACATCTGCCGGGAAATGGATGACTCGCGTGTTGACTTGCTCTTTGAGAGTGTCCGCAAGAGGCATATTGACCTGGAGGCGTCGGCTCGACGCCAGTTGCGCGCTGCAGGAACACTTCGAGCACCCCAGGAGGGCCAGCAAGTGCCTGTGAGGCTATTGGGGGACACTTACGTCTTCCGCATTGATCGAGTGGAGGAAAGTGGAGAAGCAGCTGAGAAGTATATACAAGTTTTTGTGAAGGGGTGGAGTGATGCTACAAGAGAAAAGGAGCAGAAAGAGTTAGGCGAAGAGCTCTCGATGATGCGTATTGAAGAGGAGGGTTCTGATAGGGCGTCTGATGCTTCGTACGAAAGCGAGCTGAATGGGCGATTGTGGCAGACTGGCTTTGCAGGATATACAGCATTTATCCAAGATGTTGTGCTCAATCTCGCACTGGTGCTGAAGCGTGGACGGAAAAGCCTAAAGAATGATGTGGAGATGGAGCAGATTGGGTCACATGGACTGCTAATCTCGGGTGTGAGTGGTGTCGGGAAGTCACTGGCGTTGGTGGCTCTGCACCGTGAGCTAGTACGACAGAAGATTGGAACGTGGCGAACTGATGGTATGTCGCTAGTAATGGGAGCAGAGAGTCCAGCGTTCCCCACAGCCTACGAGTATTTGACCCACGCACTGGAACAGCACTTCCCCGAGTTAGGATCTCTAATTGGCCATGTGACCGATCAAACTTCATCTACGTGTGCTGGCGTTGTGCTAGTTGACGACTTAGATGTGCTTTTCCAGTCGGCGGACGGTCAAACTGCTGATGGCTCGAACACGCTGATCCCGCAACTTGGCAGCGCTTTGCTGCGTTTACTTGACGAGCTCAGCTCGTGCAACTCACGTCTCGTTGTTATAGGAACGACTGTGAGTGCCGATGCGAATGTGCCTCTTGTTGCCAAGCGTACTGGACGATTTGGAAAGATATTGGACCTAGTCGTTCCCACCGAACAATCCCGCCGTGATATCTTGAGACGGCATCTCGTCGGGCTGCCACTACGAAGTGAAGAAGAAGAAGCTTCAACTGAAAAGAGTGCCGCAAGTCTGGCCTCGCGTCTGGCTGCTCTAACCGGAGGTTACGTGGCGAAAGACTTTGTGCGTATCTGTCGAAATGCGGCTGCACGGACATTCGCTGAGTCAATCAACGACGGTGGATCAGCGAGGCCTTCAGTCGGATGGACGGACCTGTTGCAGGCCCAGCAACAAGTGAAGCCTTCTCAACTTCGGGAGCTGAATGTGGCTTCACCTGGGGCGCCTGCGGACGGGAAACTCGCGTTCGCTGGCTATGCTGCTGTGCAGAAACAGCTCTTTGAATTTGTGTCGTGGAAATTCCACCCGACTGCCGCGATGAGCGTACGTCAAAGATATCTGTTCGTATGGAGTTTACACTGACAACATTCGACTGCAGCGCTTAGGAATATCTAACGCATCCGGAATCTTGCTATCGGGGCCATCAGGGTGTGGTAAAACGTTGCTGGTGCAGACCCTGGCAGCTCAAGCTAAGGTGAACTTCGTTTCTGTCAAAGTAAGTCTACACCGGGATTGGTGTCGAATTAGTTCGAAATGAGCCGCTTACTCGGCGCTGTTGTGTTTGCATGCAGTCGTCTGAGTTGCTCTCCAAGTTTTTTGGCGACAGTGAAAAAGCAGTGCGTCAGCTTTTCGGTATGAAGTGCAGTCGTGTAGCAGAAATCGTTTTTGCAGACAACGAAGGCAAGCTAACTGTTTTTTTTTATTCCCTTTGTGAACTTAAAGCTCGAGCACGTGCTGCCTCCCCGTGCCTCTTGTTTTTCGACGAGTTCGATTCTATTGCTCACAAACGTTCGTTTGGTGCGGGTGATGGAGGCAGCAGTGGCGGTGGAGTCTACGCGCGAGTACTCTCGACGTTTCTCAACGAGATGGACGGCGTGGGCTCACAGCGCGTAACAGCGTCATCCACCTCGCATAGTCAGGGCGGCATTCTCGTGGTGGCCGCAACGAATCGAAAAAATGCTCTGGATGCCGCTCTCGTTCGCCCAGGTCGCATCGACAAGACTATAGAGATAGGATACCCGACACAAGAAGATGTTCAGGTGAGGAGACACTTGGTCGAATCTTTGTCCGAGGTGGCTGGCTGTTAATGTAATGATGTTCTTGTTCCAGGATATTCTCTTGCTTTACACGAGAAAGATGCCGCTGGCTGACGACGTCAACATCCAAGACCTTGCTGCGCGACCCAGAGGGTACAGTAGACTGAGCTTTTCCGCTTGAGACGATCTCGATTTGACCTTGCTTTTGACGTGCCACAATTCAGCTCTTGCTCGTTCACGGGAGCTGACATTGCTGCAGTCTGCAAGGAGGCAGCATTCCGTGCACTTCGCGAAGATATCGAGGCGAAGATTGTCCGCTCACGGCATTTCGAAGCGGCATGGGATCAACGCGCTGCAGCAACTCCGACGTACATGACGCCTTTGAGAACCAAGCAGAACCCCACAGATGTCTGATACCGATGTACTTTGTATCCAAGACTAATAGAAGAGACACTCTGAAAAGGTCGACTACATTATCAGGTCAGCGCGGCGATAGCGAAGAGCGGTCAGGCTCGTCGCGTGGGATGAGTTTGAGTATCTGGCGCAAGTCCTTACTGCGAGCTGAAGCTGCTCGTTCTATCGTTTTCGTCTTCCTTACTCGAATTTCGGCCTCCACGTCGCATGCTCTGGGTCGCTTCGCCTTTCTCTTCGAGCCTGCGGAGAAAACGACACCAACAGGCTCGTGCTGTCTGTCGACTTCAGTGTTAATCTGAGCAAATACCGTTCGGAATGGGAAGAAATCTTGCAGGAAAGGGTGGAATAGCGCCTGCTTGGCTGTGACCCTCGTGGCCGGGTTTACATCCAGTAGACTGCAGATGAAGTCCTGGAAGTGCGGATTCCCCGGAGCTGCCGCTTCCAAACGAGTCTTCAGAGACGTCGATATCGTCTGCTTCCGGTGATTATCGGTCTTCTCTTGATACCGAGCAGCAGACAGATACGGGGCACACGCTGAGCTCAGCGGGACTCCATTTGTCACGGTATCTTCAATCTGCTCCAAAAGATGATCATTCTCGACCTTCGTGACGTTGGAGCGCTGCTGCACTGACGCATCCAGAGCTGGCAGTGTGAACAAAGGTTTGCCAGAGACGCACTCGAGCAACAGACAGCCTAGGGACCACATATCCATAGCAGAGCAAAGTAAAAGTCCTGCAGCCACCTCAGGAGCTCGATACGTGACGGTCTGCACGTCGAAGCCTTCACTTGTCTGTTCTTCAGCGTAGGCTGCCAATTCACTCGCATCCAGGCAGTTCCCAAAGTCCACGAGCTTCACTGGCGATGAGCAGGGCGACTGGGAAGTTGATGACCCCACCGGAGCCTCTGCATTCGAGCGCACCACATTCTCAGGTTTGACGTCTGCGTGGATAAGTCCTTGGTCGTGGAGGAAAGCTAGAGCTCCACAGAGATGCACGGCCATCTGTCGCACCTCCACTAACGGCAACGAAGGCGTTAATAATATGGCAGCGTCCGTCTCTTGTTTCTTCTGTGCTTCAAACAACTGGATGCTGGTGGAATCAGAGGGAGGCAGCGATGAGCGCCTCTGCTTGCGTTTGAAGAGCTGCTGTGTCCAATCAGGGGCTCGAGCTGCTCCAGGGGCCTGACGCCACGGACCCCAGAGCCCCACGTCCAGTACAGGAGGTCCAAGCAGCTCCAATACAAGACAGAAGTGTCCCTGCTCTTCGAACGTCTCCAACAAACGCACCACTGGGCAGGCACAGAGGGCATTAAAAAGCGTCACACAGAACGAAGATCTTGAATATCGACCTACCGGCACAGCAGTCGTCCACGTCCTGGTCGTTGACTTGCCGCAGCGCTGCAGCTTCGCGCTCGCCAAGTGCGTTGAGTTCTAGCTGCCGCACACACTTGATGGCCACGTGGCAATGCTGCTGCACGTCCAGAGCTCTGCAAAGATCGACTGATGAAAAGGAGGGCTTTTAGCGTGGGGCATAAGGCTGTTTGACACACGCACCGCATGATGACGGCGAAAGTGCCGCTGCCGATGCGGCGCAGGAATCGGTAGCGACCGTCGTGCAATAGCGTTTGGCCTTCCACCAACGTCTGCATTTTTTGAACAATTGCCGCCAAAATAGGTCGCCAAAAAGGTACCAGAGTGAATGCTAAAAATGTTGGTTACTATAGCACCAACCTACACTTTGTCCTCCAGACAAGCGCGTCCGTGAGGGGGACACGGGTGCACATACAAAACTTAAATACCGGGATGCTGTCGTCCGCTTTTAGCACTTTGCAACTGGGCGCGCAAACGTTGGATTTCCATTTCTAGTTGCGACTTTTCCTGTTGTGACTGGTGCAACATCCACCGTAGCGATTGCACTTCGTGTTCGTACGCCTCCAGACTCTTGGCGTTCTGCTGTTTACTCAGCTGACCTGCTCCTTGAGCTAGCAAGTGCATGTGATCCTCCGGTGCACAAGATGGAGCTCCCTGTTGCTGCTGAGGCTGCAATCGCGAGAAGAATGGCTGTTGCTGCCCTGAAGATAACCGTGCCGATGATGTGTTGTTAAACGATAACTGCTTCATCGCCATTGGATTGCTAGCGGCGTAGGCAGATGCCGCAACACCTCCTGGTATCATTGAGACCGTCGATAGTAACGTCGGGAGCGAGTCCACGGCAGGAAGCAATGGTGCTGGGGCCATGAGCGACGTACCGTTGAAGCTTGGAGCTGCTGGAGCCAGACGCGCTGCTTCTACATTTTTCCTTTTTTTGTTGGCACCGGCAGCCAACGAGTCAGAAGATCCGCGTTTTCCAGGGCCAGCTTTGCGCCCTTGCTTGGTTTTGAGCGACCGGGTGGCTGGTTTGCTGGAAATAGGGCCACGAAGACGCTGCAGCTCTTGCACTAGCGAAGAGCCGAAACGCGCCATCTGTTCATCCCCCACACCGCATACGGAAAGCTCCTGCTCCGTGGACGGCATGTAGAATGCCAACTTGGCCAGTGTAGCGTTTGGCAAGATATCCCAGGGCGCCACACCGTATATATTGACGAGTTTCTGGCGCCAGGACTGCAGGTGCTGGAAGACAACGCAAATTTGTTCCTCGGTCAGCGGCTTGAGCGAAATGGCCGAGTTGCCGCCCTGCTCGGGTGTCTGTTGCGGCTGCTGCTGGGCTAGTAACCGCTTGGCATTGTTCTCCTGAATGTGGGCGATGCGCAGTCTCAGTGTGGATGGATCACAGTACTCCGCCTCGTTCTTGGCCAGTTTGAACAGTGCCTTCTCCATGTGCAAGGCCAGTCTCGGCAGTGCAGCCAACACCTTCTCGGGAGCCTGGGGTTTCAAGGCGCGTAGGGTCTCGACAATCCGGTCGATCATGGCCTTGCGCATGGTACTCTTGTCAGACGCCTCGCCCTCTTGCAACAAGACATTCGCTGCCGCTGCGTTAGGCATCACTGAGACGCCACCGGATCCACCGCGTAAGGCGTAGAGCTCCGAACTGTTCTGGGTCTGGAACTGCAACGGCGAATGATCGCCCAAGTGCTGCTGTTGATGCTGTTGCTGGACGTATGTGGGGCTACTGGAGCCACTGTTGCTGCCGGTGCGGGCCGCTGCTCCTCGTTGAGGCTTGGTGGGGCTTACCCACTTGCGCTGCTCGCTATCTCCACCCGCCGCGACGGCCTCGTCTTCCCCTGGTTTGTGGCGCCGGTTCACGTTCAGCTTCTTCACACGCATCCGGTCGTCAACCTGCCGCCAAGCTGCCACTGCTGCTGGTGCTGCTGGTGGTGACGATCGTCCAAGCGGAAGTGAGGGTGACGGCGCAAAAACGGCAATGACGAGCGTACCGTATGCCGAGGTGAGACCCAACTGCGGAATTGACCCACGCGCGTCACGATGTAATCCCCCGCGTAGGTATCGACAGTTCGGACATTCTCGTTTGAAATTGAAATTAATTCGTGATCGATACTTTTACGTTAAAACAATTCAAATGACTTTTAGGCTACGCGATAAACGTTTTTACATTACATTTCATTACAAATGACTTTTTGTAATTAAAAGCTGGTGTCTTGCCGGTATCGGAGACAATTTATCATTATTAAAACAAGGAGGCAATAAATAAAAAAGCCAGATCTTTTCGGAACCAGCTTCGATACTTAAGCGAGGTGCCACGAGGGACTCGTCGTCGTCACAAAGAAGCTACGTGGATGCGACGTCACACTGTGCTGTGGACCGAATCTGGCAAGTGTGTGTTTTGAAGGTGCTGTTATCTTAAACATCTACTGCAGCAACCTGTCTGTCCGTCACACTAAATTGTCGTGCCTGTCACGCTTTTCCGGACAAATCATTGGATAAAATAATTTAAATATTTCTACTGGCTGCCGAGCGCAGCGAAGGTGGCTTCAATTGGTTAAAACTAGAATGTGTAGTTGACATCAATAAATGCATGTGTTTCCCAGCTAACATATGGGGATTTGCACAAAGCTAATACATTATCCGAAGGCGGCATCGTTTTAATATTTTATAGTTTTTCATAATGCATTGATATTTGAGTACTAAAGGGAGGGCAGGGTGCTTAGCGTACACGTAAGCATGCGTGTTTCCGAGGACATGGTTTAAGTATACTAAATACTCTGTACTCAGTAGGATCTGCGAGTTACACTGACTAAAATGATAATTTCAATTTTTTATTGTAAAGATATTAGCATTATTAATAATAAGTTATCTGAGTGGGTTTCTGGTATTGCTAAATTGTACATGTTACATGTACAGCAGTAGCCGGTCGTGTGGGCTTGCCGTAAGAGCAAAGCTGTGCTTATAAACGTTGTCACTAGATCCACAAAGATAGATAGCTTAGATTGACGTGGAAAAAAAGTAATATGTGCTGATGACAATTACTACTGTATTGTTTCCTAAGCGTTTATGTAGACAACAAAATTCTGATACTTCTTAATAGGCAGACGCGTTGCCGACAAGGCGTAGAATAAAGGTTTTTACATCTTAAACATCTACTGCAGCAACCTGTCTGTCCGTCACCACTAAAATGGTCGTGGCTGGTCACGCTTTTCCGGACAAATCATT